CACAAAATAGCAAGATGGTACAGGGGAGAGGGTTCATACTGTTACCGGGAAATCCCCGGGTGGGCTCAGGGTTGGCAGGGTTGAATCATACAAGGTGTTTATTGAGGCCAGCCAACTAAGAAGACAGGGTGCTTACAAGCATTCAAATCGTGTCTTATAGCAGGGTGCAGGAGACAGGATTATAAAGGGGAAGGGCTAGGATGAGGCTGGGAATGGAATGCAGCTATGTGCAGTCCTGGAGGTCCACAGATGTCGGCTGATATCTTTAATCCTCAGGTGAAGAAATGATGTTGATGAGATGTTGTTTTGACTCCTGGTGGGTCGGTCTCACCATGCTTATTGGTTCTGCTTGCTGGGTTCACAGCTGAGTCACCTCCTCCATTGCTTCCCACAGGCCTTGGAAAGGAAACCTAGGAACAACTTAACCCCCGATTTGCATAAGTATATGTGTTCTAAGACTAAAAATAATGATTATTTTCCAGATTAATGCAAGTGCTCTATCTATCAGACCATAAGTCCCCCTATTATTTGCACCAGCCTTGCTTTCCAATGGGTTGACTAAGGTTGCAATATTTTAAACAGTTCCTGTGCTTGGCTGAATTCATTTAGAAACTATATACCCTGCTCACTGAGCGACATTCAAGCTCTTCAGGGCTTCTGCCTGGGCTCAGCATGAGACAACAGGTTTCCCACAGAACCACAGTAATCCCAGCAGAAGGGCTGGCGTTTCCAGAAACACTGGAAACAGCTCTAAGTTCCCCATAACTCACTCTTACCTCCCAGAGCTCTTTATGGGAATTATTCAATACAACCAATGCAGTGTTTAAAAGGAAGGTTCTAGAGGCTATAAAAAGAAGCCAGTGTTGACCCCCTCTGCCCCGGCCCCATTTCTCCCAGCCTATTCCACATTAAATGCAGCAGGGAGGCAGCAAAGGAGGAGGAAGGGAAAAAGGGGTGTGTGGGGGGGGGGGGGGGGGAGAGCAGAGTAGAGAGAGGGGTCTGCCTTTACTCAGAAGTCCCAAAGCAAATCAAGGAAAGTGCCATCACCAACAAGCTTCCTTCTGTGTGTCAATGCTCCCACCTTCTGGTGTCAATTATAAATTCATTAGAAAATAGCGCCAATCTAGGTCATTCAATAGATGAAGCACAGAATGTAATCCTATGAGTTTACATATATATCCCCCAAGTATTCCTGGGATCTATTTCAACCAGAATTAAATATATCTACTTTCAAGCTCCTACCTTTTCAGATATACCACTGATCTTTTAAAATATACCACTCAGTGCCTGGGCAATTAGAGAAACTCCTTCAATGTTCTCCCTACGTCCACGTGGGCTCCCACCTTCCAACCCATCCCCCCACTCAGCAGCCAGAGTTGCCTGTGGTTTGTGACAACATGGACCAACCTTGCAGGTCTTGTGCTAAGCGAAATAAATCAAAGACAAAGACTTATCACTTATTTGTGGATTAGATACAAACTCATCAATATAGAGAACAGCCTGCGGGTGTTTGCAGCAAAGGACAGGACCAGGACTGACTCCCTGGCCTGCCCCCCAGGAGGGCTCAGGCCTCAGCCAGCTGGCTCAGCACGGAGAGGGCCCCATAGAGGGCAGACAGGGGCTCCTGGGCTTCCGGGTCCCAGGTTGACCCAGGGCTGTTCACCTCCATCTTCAGGCCACACTCGTCCAGCAGCCCATAGGTAATGGCCAAGTCTTCCCCTTGGAGTGGGGCCAGGAGCTCAGGCTGGAGGGTAAAGGGAGTGTTCTGGGAGCAGTTGAAGTTGGGCTTCAGGATGCTCCTCACCTTAAAGAAACAGTATCAGATGTTACAGGCCAGCCTCTGAGGTCAGGAAGAGAGAACCTTCGGTCCCAAGGGCCAGGGGTCATGCAGGGTAACTGTGGGGGAAAGCGCTTTGGGGTCGCGACCTGTTCCTATCTGCAGTCAGTGTGACCATGAACACATTGTTGGAAATCACTGAGCACTGGCTCCTCAGCTGATAAATAGGGACACTGACACTTACTCAGCAGAATAGTGGGGTTTGGAATTGTGTGTGTATGCCTGCGTGTGCAATGTGTGTATGTATGTGTCTACACACATATGTACTTACATATATATGCATACAGAGAGAGTGTGTCCAATTTGCAAATGGTAACTGTATGAGTACATCAGGGGCATAACTCAGAACCCTTGAGCTTCCCAAACCTGTATTCACAGACTTCTATTTTAGAACTGGGGGAGGGGCCCTCTGCACTGTTGTCATGGAAACTGAGACCTTCCCCAGGTAGACTCATGCCCACTGGGCCTGTTTCCCAGATGGAGATGCAGCCTGGATTTCCCAGGCCCACACCGGGACCTCCCCTCCCCTCCCAGCAGCAACCCCAGTCATCTCTCCTTTCTCAGAGCCATTCTTATCCGGCTTCCCTCACTCTATTCCCAGGACGCCGGCCCCTGGGGGTGCTCACCAGGTCCCTCTGCGGGAGGAGGATCCTCTTCTCCATAGACTGAGCCAGCAGAACATGTTGGATGTCACTCAGCACTGGGGACAGGGGGACA